GCCACAGTCGGGAGCGCTCTGGGTGCCAGACTTCGAAGCAAACTTAAGGTACACAACATCGACCCGTTTGGTTGCAGCTGTCGTCCGTCGGCCTGAGCAGAAACGCCCAACAACTAAGACAATTGAAAAAAGGCCGAAAATAGTTATTGGGTCATTAATGTCTGATTGACTGCAATGCACAAAACTGCCAAAAACCGCTTGGGTCGCTTTCTTGACGCCGTAAAGCAGTCAAGATAAGTAAGAGATAAATCCGATCACGCCCTGGGTGGTTGCCTAATGGTTCTCTTAAAGCAAAAAATCACAGTTACAAGTCTCAGAGGCGGGGCAGGTAAAGATGACGCCGCGATATCGAACGGTGTGCATGTGAGCCCAGATTTCGTGTCCGTTACGTCGCACCCTCCAACCAGTGTACGCCATGTTCGAGTCAGAAACGCGGGAAGCATACAATCTGTTAGGTGCTAGACTTCTGTGCACTGAGTGGTTGAATAAGATGGTGCAGAGCATGGGAATTGAAATCCACTTGATCGCGACTGCCAGGTACCAGTGTGCGCTTTTGCACAACACGGGCTGGGTTGTGAAGCTTGCTGACTTCAGTGTTGGCTGTGGGAAAATATGGCCAAGATTTAGATGTGCCTTTAGAGATTCGATACCATGGCTTAAAAGTGTAATTTCGGACCGAGAATACGATAGACACAGAGACATTCCAACTATAAGTGCTTAGCAGTCTCAGCGCTACTTCCAAGTTTCCTGCAGATCCGGTAAATTCCCCATCTCATTAAAAATGTCAACCGAAATTCTGAAACGTGTTTTCGATCTGAACCAAGTACTTAAGTAGGGTTGATTATTGTACAGTCTAATCCCAGGATATTCCAGTCACCTCAGTATGTAGGTGTTTGAACAAACTCCTTTCTGACCGTCTGCAAAAAGCATACTACACTAAAAAAATGGCTGATTACGTAGTATGCATTGTCTCATTGATTCTAAATGTCCTTATATATTCAAATATAATTTACGGAAAGCCTGCACAAAAATATCCCCTCTTCTACTCCTTTGATAGCAAAGTATGCCTTCGTCAAATTTTAGACATGAGGAAATTAAATTTTTTTTTATAAATTGCCGAACAATTTTTAATTCGAGGTTTTCAAACCTCGTGCTCAAGGTAAATCACATTAAGAAGTTGACGGGTACGATCTATTACGAAGAAACATTTCCTGATCTACAAAACCTCATAAGTAGAAATTTCAAGAAATAATACCCTTGTGCCTTTTTTCCATAAAATATACTTGAATTTATAATAGCATCGAAAATTAACGAGACAAAATCGCACTACTTCAATAGCCATTTCATTTTACAGAGCATGCTTCTTGCGGGCGGTCAGAAAGAAGCTCCTCCTTATGTGGCCGAAACATCCTTGGATTAGGCTGTATGACAATCAGTACTCGGTTCAAATCGAAAACACTTGGAAATTCCCGTTGGCATTTCATGAGATAGGGAAGCTACTGCATTTCTTTTGAAACAGGCCATAAGAATCGTAAATGGTTATGAGGAGCACTTTCTGAGTGATACGGCTGTACTCATAACATTTATCCTAACTGACTCAGATGGCTCCATCAGGAGCGATTGCCGTGCTCGCCAGCGCAGCAGACAGAAAGAAGCCTGAGGTCAGTGCGTTCACCACACACACACACACACACACACACAGTCGCCCACATTTTTATTTGGCCGTTTCACAAAAAGGTTACATTTCTTCATTTAAGACAGTAGCTTGGCCTCGAGTTCCGACGCAGAAAGACGACAATAGACCTAAAAAAGGGAAATTCGATAACCACTATCTGCCTGTTGTTTACTCCTTGCCAGAAAAGGCCTCCGACCATGCGCATCAGGGCCTTCAGGGAGCATTTCAGGCTGTAAACGGATGAGGAAGTATGATAGCTTTAAAAATCTAACGAGCAGACAATTTGGTTTGGTCAGCTGACAAAAACCCTTGAATGGCGTTAATGCTAACAACACCTTTTTACTATGGACTTCGCCGTTGTTCGACCTGGTCCATCGTGGATTCCTGTACACCAGTAGACTGCAATTGAGCAATCAAATCCTATTATAGCGGCAGTCAGTTGAATTTCAAAGGACGTGGTCACGTGACCGCTCGTCT